CGTAAAATATGCGTATTTTTGTTTGTAAATTGCGTCTTCATTTTCCGAATGGCAAACACCTTCGTGGCTTAGTATGCCATGATATATTCGGAAATTTCTTTCGTCATTCGGAAATTTTTGCCCCCCCCCCCACCAACTGTACATGCTAGCTACGGCCCTGGATACAGACTTGCCGACTGGAACTTCTCCAGGTCCCCCGCTAATTATGTCCTCTCCAGTTACGCATCCTTAAAAAAGGCCCTGAACCAAATATTATACCTCATAGCAATATGTATTATTAAGAGCAACGCATGAAGCTAGAAAACTCAACGTTAACTATAATCTAAATAGTATAAGCTATTGAAAAACAAATGCTGCGAAAGAAAGTGTGGGAAAAAAACGTACATGGTGATGGGATAAAAATAAATCTTGCACATAACAATACTAGAAAAAATATTCCCTGCCAGCAGTAAATCAACCCCCCCCCCCCTCAAAAGTTAAATGGCCGGCCCCTTATTCGCTACTTTTAGCAAAAGACACAGAAAAAGGCAGCCAATCACTGCGTTTGTTATTTCCAAGTGACCAATCACAGTGCTTTATATAGCCCAGACTCTCAGCTTCAAGACAAGCCGTTTATATATATTTTCCGATGTATTCCGACGGCAAAACAACCGATTTAATCGAAGTCACTGATTAGATCCGTGGTGGCTATCTTTAAAATAGGTTAACTTAAAGCAGAAAAGTTAAGAAAACTATAGAATAGTTAAGCATTTGCGCACGATTAAATTGTAGAGTAAATCATACCCTTAAATATAGTCAACGCAAAAATTATACATGCTACGCAAAAAAAGTTATTGACAAAAATGTGGATTATATGAACCTACGAAAAATATCTTTGTATGGTTCAGTTAAAGAACGTTTTATACAATAAATTTATCGACAGTCACCTTTATTTTCTTGCATAATACTACTTCTTGCACATGTGGACTATAATTATTTCTACTTTTTAGGTTGCCACGTTCATTATTCCGCTTGTATTTTCATAGAAAAGGCAAAACATCGAAGTCTCTTCCATTTTGAATTTTTGACAACATTCTGAACACTTGACATCACGTTCGCAATACAGATTTCAGTAATGTTGACGCATGCGCAGACGTTTTTCCGCGGTGTTGGTCGAAGTGGACCCATAATTATGTGACCCGTAATTAAAGAGTTTTAACGGCATTCGGTAAAACCCGAAATCGGCCCGAGTAGCTTACAGTGCTTTTATATAGATCAGTGGCTAAGCACTTGACGGGTGCATTTTGGCATTTTGCGTTTTGCTGCCCATCAAATAACTGTGTATTACATAATGAAAAAGAAACTAATACTTTAAATTGGTTCAAATCATATTTTACGAATAGAAAACAGATGTGTAAAGTTAACCAAACGACATCAAAATGTCGAACAGTTTCTTGCGGAGTACCACAAGGCTCTAATCTTGGGCCAATATTATTTCTGCTATACGTAAATGATTTGCCAAATTGTTTAAAATCAACAACAGCCAGCATGTTTGCAGATGACACTAATCTGACAGCGAGTGGTAGCACATCAACTGAGTTGTACAATAAATTAAATAATGATTTAGAAAATATACATCAATGGTTGTTGGCCAACAAATTAACACTTAGCCTAATACGAGTAAAACTGAATACATGATTGTTGGCTCCAGACAGAGACTAGGCAATATAGATGATGAAGCTGAAATTAAATTGGAAGATAATAAAATAAAAAAGTTTCAGAAACAAAAACTTTAGGTGTTATTGTCGATGACCAACTTAAATGGAATTCACAGTATAAATACGGTTGCCTGTTGCCACCAAAGTATCAAAAGGCATAGGAATGATTCGACGAATGAAAGCTTTTGTACCCCAATCAACCCTTATTTCTGTATACAATCCAATTATCTTGCCCCACTTTGATTATTGCAGCCTTGTTTGGGATATAGGAAATGCATATTCGCTCGAAAAACTCCAAAAACTGCAAAACAGGGCTGCAAGAGTCATAACTGGTAAATCATATGATCTCAGATCTAAGGATATATTAGAAGAATTAAGATTGCAGCCATTGATGGAAAGATGGGGTAATAATAAGGCGATATTTATGCATAAAGTTACGAATGGTGAATACTTAGAAAATATATATCGCTTGTTTGTCGTTAAAAATAATGACAATTATAATTTACGAAATAATAATATCGATTATAAATTAGAAAAGCCCAAAACAAACTTTTTAAAAAAAAGCATCAGCTATTCAGGTGTAAAAATTTGGAATGAATTACCAGTGGAACTGAAAGGCAATTGCTTGTTATTAAACGCATTTAAAACCTTGCTTCGGGACAGACCTCTTAAGTCTTATCATATTATGTGGTGTACTGTGTAATATGTAATGTGTAATGTGTAATGTGTAATTTGTAACTATATACTAATTGTAATTATTAACCCAACTTTTTGTAAATATGTATTGTGCAACGGCCCCTTGGAAAACAGCTCTTATCTATGCTGAAGGGCTACCGTTGTTTTTAAACAAGATTAATTAAAAAATAATAATAATAATAGTAATATTATTGATTTTGCCAATGTAATATTTGCAGACGACCACTATCTACCACACGGCAAAAAACGCCGAGCCCGTTGCTCAACAGGACTGAACAATGTTTTGCTTCCCAGGTTGTTCACACTTGTCAACAATATTGAACAATGTTGTTGAGCCTGAATCGGGTGTAACAATATTGATCAATATTGTTGACAGCTATGAACAATGTGGGCAGCAAAACATTGTTCATTTCTGTTTTCATCAATATTGCATCAACCTGAGCGTTTTTACGCGTGTATATGATGTTGGTAATGAAGCCGACCTATTCCTTGCTTACGACCATAAAAAGTTGTATTCAATTTGTCTTATATTTCTGTCATTAGGTTTCCAATAGAAGCCGACACCCGGCGATTTTTGCCATCTATAGCGTACAGTGGTCGAAATTCACTTTTTCCGGGGGGAATTTACTTTTTTCGGCGAGCGGTTGCCCCGCCCCACCGAGATTTCCGCCACTGACAGCGTAGACTATCTCCTGGTATTTTTCAAAATCGTAAGCCTAAATATTTCCACCTTTGCAAAATTATGTCAAGGGAAAGGATTCTTGCTTTTTCAATATAAATTTTACACGATATGCTTTGTTAAATCTGTGGTGCTGTGACAAAATATTTAGATTCTTTAAATTCCATTTTAAAAGATCTAAATTTCACATGTTCACGAGGAGACGTCATTAGACGCCCGCCCGCCAGATGAGTGATATATTCGGCCCAACATAGCGGCCTACTTCTTTCAGAAAGCTCCTAACTCTACATTCTATAGGAAATCTTGTATCATTTCAGTTCCTCGAGCTCAAATTTTACACCAGGGATTTCATTACGTGGTTCTACACCTCTCAAGAACTTTACTCGAACACCAATCAATCCTCCTGGATCTCGTAAAACTCCTCATCATTCTAGCAGTGTTACACCTGGCACTTCTGGACCTTCAGTGCTTGTAGGTAAGTATAGGGATTGGCGAAGTCATAGCCTTTCTTGCACGATGCAATCAAGTTTTGTCCACCATTTGGTTGCCAAACGAAAGAGGTTGAGATTTGACTCAGGGCCGTACACAGGGGGGGGGGCGGCAACTGCCCCCCTAGAGAAAACTATATTTACAATTTTTAGAATGTCATTATTAATTATTCTTTGGATATTTGGAACCTTTTTCGGCATATAGGCCTTATACTGCCCCCTGGTGAAAAAATCCTGCGTACGGCCCTGATTCGACTACCAGTCTACCACTATAATACCACTACCTCTTGCAGACTAATAAGCATTTGATTGTCGGTCAGAGAAATTCAACTTACAATAATTATGATCTTGCTTAACAACATTCCCTCCTTTATCCCAGCTCTTGTTGAAGGTCGAGGATTGGCAAAAGGTGAAATTGGTATGGCAAGCCTAGACTTGAAAAGGCCAGAACTTGTTCTCTCTCAGGTACTGATTGTTTTTTAAATCCGAAATGAGAAATGTAGAAAAGCTTGGTCCCTTGATGAAGTTTCCTTATCGACAGTTGTAGTTTAGTTTACGTCGGGTCGTGAGCTAGCCTTGCAAAATATGTTACGTCATTTAACAATTTACTTTAAAAATAATTACAATAATTTAACATCGAACACGCGACGGCTTTGATTTGCTATCGTGGTCAACCAAACTTTCAAGTTGCCGGATCCGTTGTGGACACATTCAGAGCAACATCACAAATATATAATTAAGATTGTTTGCACAAAGATATTATAAGTCAAATTGTAAGTAATTAACATTATTAATTTACTATAACTTTTACATTTATTTATTTATTTTATTGCACACGCCCTTTGCACGTGGACATCAGCTGATGTTGATGCAGCGTATTTAAATAAAATGTTCTATATTTTTTTCTACATAATCAGTCAGGATCTAGATTAGGGGTGCACCGGATTTGGAATCCGGCCGGAATTCCGGCCAGATTTCACGAATTTTCCGGCATCCGGCCGGATTTGGAGAAAATCCGGCCGGAAGGCCGGATTTAAAAATTTAAAAAGTACCTTTTAATTTGTTTTATGTCATTATGTGTCATAGAAAATAATACAATAGGAAAATACCAATATACCATACTATACAAGTTTTATTGTAGTTGACTCAATGTATAATATGCTACTGCGCTATAAACTCTGTAGAAGACAAATTTCAGCCAACTGCGTTTCATAACTAGCAAGGATAATATATTAATTTTAATTTTTTAACAATCGTTAACAATGACAATGACAATAATTGAATTACTACTGGTAACCATTGTCAATACTCAATAGTCCAGTTTAGTGTTCAAACAACCGTAACAAGTAGTTAACTTTTATTTCATAACAAGTAACAAGTAACAACTAACAAAGCTAACAGGTTTCAAATTTCAATCCAAAGTTACATCACAACATATCGTCAATGTTGGAATTCTCTCCCATTATGATGGATGAACAAGAGACTCTCCCCATTTTTTGGAAGGAGTCTGCTTCGTTTCTCTTCGAATATGTTCCCATATTCTGAGTACATCCGCTCAGAGAACACGGAAGATGAAGGTGTACAAAGTAACTTCCGTGCAAGCTCCTGCATAAGTGGGAATTGAATTGCATTCTTCCACCATTCGAGTGGATCACATTTTCGGTTGATGAGTGGCAATGACAAAAATGAGTCAACCTCTTGTGCAACGTCCTGGACGTCTTTACTGGTCCTACAACCTTGTTGCCTGGTCGAAGTAGTTGATGCAGTGGCTGCTCTCTGAGTAACTATTTCCATGAAGCATGAACGGAAGAGGTCGTCCTCTTTCCTTCGCTTTCTCTGTGGAGAATGTGGTGGCAACTGCGATTCTTGGTTATTGTTGTCTTCTTCACCATGCAACTTTTGATGAACCAGAAAAAGTTCCTGTACCAGCCAAGCCTTTGCCTGTTGCTTGTCATCAGCTCTAGGAAAAAAGTGGTCTTTGTACCGAGGGTCGATGCATGTCGCAGTAACATATGCGTTCTCGTTCATCACATTCAACGCTTCTGCTTCTGGGGATAGAAATCGCTTCCGGAGTGCTCTGAGAAGTTCTTCACGCGTCGACTGGACTCCTTGATCACCTTGGCCGATCTTTGACAAGAATAACTCTAAGGTCGCAATGTTGGGAATCACATCAGAAAGAATCGAATACTCGCCACTCATTTCTTTCGTCAGGTCAAAGAAGGGCTTGAGAATGTGGAGGAACCGTTCGCTGATCTGCCACTCATTTGCCGTGATTGTGGGAAGATTGTCGTGATCATAAAGATAGAGTTGAATAGGTCGCTTTAGTTTCACTACTCGCTCGACCATAAGATAAGAACTGTTCCATCGAGTTGGAACGTCTTGAACTAGCAAAAGTGGTGTTTTACCTTGTTCTTGAACTTCTTGCAAAGATTTCAATTCAGTACAGGCAAGTGCAGAGTGATTGAAATGTGTAGCTAGTCGCCGACATTTAGCCAATAGATCAATGATAGAACGCTGTGACAATATAGCATCTTGAATAATAATAATAATAATAATAATAATAATAACGATTTATTCAACAGATCCATACATATGGCTCTTCCCTGTTAAAATACTAATTAAATACTATATTCTATAACTATGAACTATAACGTTTAAGTGTTGAAATTAGATAAAATCGATGTTCGGATTAAAAACTAGTTTTGGCGTGCTCTTTCGAATAAAAGTTCTTTAGTTAATTTTAAAAATACTTTGTAATTAGTACAATTCCTGATGTTCTCAGGTAAGGAATTAAAAAGTTTCGCAGCACTATGTTGAAACGTTCCAGTTTCTTTTGGCACGACTAGTCTAACTGCATTGGTTGAGCGCAGTTCTCGAACGCAAGTTTGTCGTTCTAGCTTTAGATACTCTGGCCACTCTGGGAAATACATGGCTTTGAAACTCGATTTCAGGATGTTGAGGTCTCTTCTTTCGTTAACTGGAAGCCATCCAACTTCCAGGATATCCTTTTGATCTTTAACATATCGACCCAAGACAAAACTAGCAGTTGCAAATTGAACTTTCTGTAAGCGCCTTGATAGAAACTGCTGGAGTGGATAGAAAACACCATCAGCATAATCCAATTTGGATAATATTAGCGTTTCAGCTAACTGCTTTCTAAGGTAATAAGAAGCTAGATGTTTAAGTTTCCTTAATATTTGCAAGGTGGTGTAGCAGGCAGATGTTATGTGACGGATATTGTTGTCCCATTTTAGGTGTTCGTTGAAATGAACGCCAAGCAACTTGCATGACTTTATGCGCTCTAGTTCGTGTTCGTTGACAAATATTCTAGGTTCATAATTTTCCAATTGGTGGACTCTTGACACTAACTGAAGTCAATGAACTGTGCAATGAATTGAATTGATGTCAGCCAAATCACCACCCAAACTCATATTTGCTGCTCCATCTCGAACAAGCAGATTCCGACGAACTTCCTGGATACCCCAATCATCCCACATGTTTTGGAACATCTCAGAAATGTTAATCCCGGTGTGCGACCCTGGGAAGTGAGATCCACAAAGAACTGCATTAACACGCTTGAAATCTTTCTTCACCCAGTGTCCGGACAAGGAAATAAAAGTTTCCTTGGAAACAGAGCACGTCCAAATATCTGAAGTAAAAGAGATATAGTCTCCATCGGGTTCAGCTAGTTCATCTTGAACAATGGTTCTTAGTTCTTTATATACTTTGGGGAGCATTTTATCTGCAAAATATCGTCGGCTGGGAAGCAAATAGTGAGGCCGAAGATGTGCCATTAAATCTATGAATCCGTCATCTTCTACCATAGAAAATGGTTGATTATCCACAGCCATCATCTTTATTATTTTCTTATGGATGGCTCTTGAGCGGCTATCGTTGATGTCCCATATTTTCTTAGACGTCAAGCTATCTTCTATTGAAAGCTGCTTTTTCATAGCAACTATCTTCTTTTCTTTAGGTTGAATGGAATACGTTGCCGGTGACACCAATTCCGATTCTTTTTTCCCTTTTTGTACTCTTCTTGGTGGTGTGTCTTCATGTGTGTATGGAGAGGGGATGTGCTAAAACTTTTTTGTCCTTTTCCATCACGGCCTCTCTTGATCTTCTTTTCACATATTAGGCATTGTGCTGCAGAGTCACTTTTGTCTTCAACATGAAACCATGCCCAGACAAATGATTGAGTTGACATTGTGCATTAATTAATATAACTCTTTTTGACAAATCTGAATAACTGTTTTTACTGAAAGAAAATGGAAATAATAAGAATTCGCGGAAAAGAACAGTAAGTGAACTAATATATATGGCAAGTGATTAAACTGAACAAAACCCTAACCCAAAAAACCTCTTGATAATACTGACTATAAAACGCTGAACATCTACATCTATCTTATTCTATCCAGACTGAAGCCAAAGAGCAGTGCTAGAGTTGTAAACTGCGGAAATAAAGCCCATGCATGTTGCGACAGTTGCATAAACACTGAAAACAGCTATGTAGCTACCAAAAAGAAATCTCAGTTCATGTTTTTCAGTTTTTTTCCGAAAATTTTACGTTTGATTTTGAAAACAAAAAATATCTCTTAACTGTTAAGCTTTAAATGCTTAGAAATTTCTGTTTCACCTTAAAAAGATCACCAAGAATGGGACAAACCATCAATTTGGCAGCTTTAAAGTTTAAAAAACACTTATATTTAATATTGTAAAATATTAAGTTATTAACAAAAAGATATTTAAAACAGTCAAAAATCTAAACTGACACTAACTAAAAAATAATAGTAAATAGTAATAAATAGTTATAATTTTTATTTATAAATAAAAAACTTCCTTACCCTTACAAACTTCATGCCATTGTGAATACTGAATTGCCATTCATGCCATTGTGAATGTCGCCATTTTGAATACTAAATTATCCCAATTTATCCCTCAATTGTCCCCCATTAACGGTTTATCTCAAATCCGGCAAATCCGGCCGGAATTCCGGCCGGAATTTTGCCCAAATCCGGTAAATCGGGTTCCGGCCGGATTTAAAAATTCCAAATCCGGTGCACCCCTAATCTAGATTCCAGTATAATCATTTGGGAACAAATAAGGTCTTTTTTGGTGGTTCACGAATGAAAATTGTTCAATTTCGTATATTTTCAGTTTTCAGATAGCCAAACATATGTGAAAGTACTAACGAAACTTCAAGTTCTCCAGCCTCTTGAGGTAAGAAGGTATATGACAGGGCGGCACTAAAGGAGGTTGTGGAGCCCCCCCCCCCCCCCCCCC